TGTTGTATTAGCTGTAAAGTGTCTCTACTGTTGGCTATTTTTATTATATGTAGGCCTACAGCACTTTGGCTCGACCAAAAATCGTTTATAAATGTGCTATATAAATAAAACTTGATTTGATTTGATAATGGACCATAATCTTACGTTTATTTATTAGTTGCATTGCTGGAGGGGCCTGAGACAGTAATTACCAAAAGTATACTTTAGCTATTGTGCATATGACATTAAAGCCTTTGAATGTGGAAACTTGGTAATCTAAGCTATATGAAATACATTTTAAAACATAGGTCTTGAAAAGTCACACCAAATCTGTCATAAGTGTTACAACATGATGCCATTTCTGCTTTTTTTCTCACAGAGCTTTTGGTCTTGAAGAGCATCCCTTGTTAAATAAAGATGTCGCTGCCATTCTTTGGCTGGGAGGTGACCTACGATGATGAATCTCCTCGTTTGGAGCTGGGGGCTTCTCAGCAGCCCAAAGACAAAGGCGTCTACAAAATGTACCATGGCACCAGCGTCGCCAACGCACGGCTCATCATTACCAATGGCTTTAAGCAGTCATCAGCTGGCATGTTGGGCAAGGGCGTGTATGTCAGTCGAGATCAGAAAAAGGCGGAACGTTATCCTTTAAATAACAACCATTCAGACAGAGTGGCCCTTGAGTTACGTGTGCGTTTGGGTCGTGTCAAGCGCATTGACACAGATAACCATCCCATGCAGTACACCTGGAGCACGCAGGGCTACGATACCGCTTGGGTGCCTCCGAACTGTGGCATGAAAGCAGTGCCCAGTGGCCTAGAGGAGGACTGTGTGTCCGACCCCCAAAGAGTGAAGGTGGTAGGCATCGCAAAGGCTCCAAACACCGTGCTGGCAGAGCTTCAGAAGCTAGTGGCTGATAGTCTAACAAATCCCAGCGCAGGAGATGATGGTGCTCCGGATGCGTGTTCACTTTGTAAGAGAAAGACCCAGCAGGGCTCTCCACACATCAAGCAACCGTGTTGGGGCTGTGGGAAAAACATCTGCACGCTCATGAGCAAGCATGTCTGTTCAGCTAGCTACTGAGAGGGTGAAACAAGTAGACCCACGTCCAAAATGGCCTTGTAATGTGGTGGAGAGAAAACCATATTTAGAAAAACTAAAAGTGTAAAATCCAAAGCTCAGGGTGTGACCATGCTTTTCAAACATGAGTCAACGTTTCTAATTTCCTTCCCCCATGTTCAAACCTTTTTCACTTCCTCAAATGAACATCTGTAACTTGCTACAGTAGCTACGGCTGCACATGTCTCTAGGGATCTCTGCATGTTATCTTCAAAGACTTAAAGTACTGTTTGTGTTCATACTGAAGTTCACTTTTATGATCTATTTTGAAATGTGTTCTTGACAAATCGGTAAGCATAACAATTATATACAATCAAGAGGAGACAATCGTTTAGTTCAAGCAAGAAGCCTTTATTTCAATCTGAACATGGACATCAGTTCATTTTGAAGTAATATGCGATAAAGATCATGATTTTTGCTGAATGTATTTGATATCCTGAACACTGTATAGTGTTAAACCAAAGAACCATGTAAAGACAATAAACATTGTTATATCTGACACAACATTTTGATTTTGATATGATTTCATATGTATTGAAGAGACCCAGAAGATAATGCTACATTTTGATTATTTCAGCCTGTAAAGGAACCCTGCTGAGCTACATGATTTCATAGTGACACGTTGCAGAATTGCACAACTCAAGCTGACGAAGAGGAAAGCAGTGAATGAAAGTCGAGCAGTCTCTGATCTCTGTTGATTTTGGCATATTGGAAAAGGACCTGGAAAAGAAAAGAGAAAGTTGGGGGGGAAATGAAGAGGCCATTAAACATTTTAGATTAGTTTCAGCTTCACACATTCTTTCCAAATAAGTCACAGTTGGAAATAGGCACTTCAAATTAATATACATCCAGGTTTAAAACAGCTCTGTGCTCACATTTATTAGCTCCTGGTCGTTTTTGCTATGCAAGTGTCTGAGGAGGTACCAGCTGGCCACCTGCACCACCGTCACTGGGACGTCCTGAGAGTACACCAGCCTCTCCAACAAACGCCTGGTTTCCCTGCAGGAGACAAAAGGTAAAACATGAGCTTAATACTTGTTAACCAAAATCACTACAATAGTCTGGATACATTTAGGAGTGGAATATGTGAATGAAAGGAGCAAGAAATGTGGTAAAAATGCCTAATTGTGCTGCTTTTGTTGATGTAAGTAACACATTCTAATTTGCTCTTAAGATATATAGAATTAGATGATGGCTGTTTTAAAAGTACCAACCACTGGAATAGACAGATTGGAGTCATACATCTGAAGCTTCAGGAATCCCTTTTATTTACTTTAGCTGATATACTTCACCTACCAGCCAATGGGTTCAACACATTTGCATATTGACGCAGAAGCACCCACGCACATGCAACATGCTCGGGCATTTCCATGCGACCTTCAGCAGAGGATAAGAGTGAGAAACACTGACCTAGCAGCCATCTTGGTCACAAAATGGAGCAGGGCCTGGAACAGGAGGGCCACAGAGGAGGAGCCCAGCTTCAACACTTCAGCGGTGGCTTCCACGATCATGTTGGTCCAGTCGTTCCCTGGGACACCCGCCTGAAAGGTCATCAGCTGGTTAAGAACAATGCGTGGAGCCGTGACTGTACTCAATATTACATTAACAGTAAGCAAAAAGTTAGATAAACAATAATTGAATTTCACTTTGTTGTCCTGTGAGAAGTGGAGTGGAAAGCCTGTCCCTTTCATATAAATGACAAATGCATTTTTTTGCCTGCTGATCCTTTACTTTCTGCAGGATTTGAACCCATCTTTCATTTCCTCTACTTTGTTTCTGACATTGACAGGGATGTCAAAAGGAGCTTCCTCTAGACAGGTGTGTGAATAGTATTATGCAAGTCTTAGGGTCAGCATTGTAAAATAATACTATTCCTTATTGCTTGAACATTACTCCTGAAAACTTTACCAAGCTCTTCAAGATATTAAAAAGGAAAATACTTTCTATATAAAACACAAATGGGAAAACGAAACCAAAAAAACCATCCTTGACGAAGTCTGGACAAATTATTGTACTTTTCAATGG